AAAATATGTTGAGCCTTTCATTCTAAATAGTCCTTGAATGGAGCACCGGGGGTGGGGGAGCGGGGGTGGGTGTTGCAGATGGCCCTGGAAGGATGAATGCCCAGGCCAGGGCGCCTGGGCCTAGCCTGGGAGACTGCCCCTTCAGCCTGGGCCCAGGCCTGGCCCCCAGCACACGGAGGGAGGTCTGGCCCTGGGAAACCCCTGGGGATAAAAGCCCAGTGAGGTCAGAGACCCAGAAACTCCTAGACCCCGGGGGAAATGTGAGAGTAAACCCTAGACTGGGAGTGGGAAAATCTCGCTTTCAATCCTCCCTCTGACAAGTCCTTAGAGCTATGTGACCTTGGGCAAGGATGTTACTTCCCCCTCTCTTGGCCTCAGTGTCTTCATCTGTAAAACAAGGGGTTTGGACTGTGCGTTCCAGAAAGTCCCTCCTGGCTCCGACATGCTGACTCCAGCCTGCTAACACGCTACTCCCTTTCAAGCGCTCTACAATCCAGCCAAACTGGCCGGCTCTGCTGTCCCCTGACATTCTATCCCGTCTCCAGACTTTTGAACAGGCTGTCCCCGGTGCCTGGAATGCCTTCCCTCCTCCACAATCCAGCCGAAACACCACCTCCTTCCCACCATGCACAGGGCCTTCATTGGTGCCCCAGCAGCTGGCACCTCTTTCCTCCACCCCCCTCCATAATTACCTAGTATGCGTTTTATATGTGTTAAAGAGAGGCAGGGTGGTGTGATGGTTAGAGAGCTGGCTTTAGAGTCTGGAAGACCCTGGGTTCGAGTCCCACATCTGACACATTGTGACTGGGTCACCTCAGCTTCCTGATTCTCTGGGCAGCTCTCTGGGACTAGAAGCTTCAGACAAGAGGTTCCTCACAGGAAGCTCCATCAACCAATGAAATCACACGACTAGTCCTTCTCCCTATTCACAGATGTTTGACTGGTACAGATGAATGCAGTCATACAAAAACACGTCCAATGGCATCTGTACATGAATGCATAGGTGCATATACACCCTGCTAAGCCCTTTTCTTTCCTCCCTGCCCCAGGGATCACAAACTGGTACAAGGTAGGAAGGGAAGCAACCCCTGGGCCCACTCCTAGGCTGAGGGCCAGAAAAGAGGATGGAGTCTGCAGCCAAAGGCGACCAGTGGGCACCAGGGGCGCCGCTGACCCGCCAGCAGGCAGAGGGCACTGTTAGGTTGGGACTGTCCAGGGAGATGTTTAGAAGGTGCTGACTTGAGCTGATTGGTAGAGTTTCCTCATCTGACAGCTCTCTGATTTCAAGAAGTCATAGACCTGTCCCTGTCCTCTAAGTATGCACTCATTGTACATGCTTGATTGATTTGTTCTAAGGGCCCTTCCAGCCCTGACATCCTGTGTCCTAAGGGCCCTTCCAGCCCTGACATCCTGTGTTCTAAGGGCCCTCCCAGTCCTGACATCATTTTAAATTACTTTTGAGCTCTTAATATTTTGTGATTGATGGGATTTTATAGCCAGAAGGCACATTGGAGATTAATTTATAGATTAAGGGAAGTGACTTACCCAAGGTCACCAAGTTATTCTAAAGCCAGAAGGAAGAAGATCCCCAATTCCCACCCCCCACAACCCTGCCTAAAGACAGGAAGACCTTCCCTTCTTTCACTTTCAACTTGTTTTACAGACATTTCCAGGCACCCACAGCATCTGCGCCAAAGATGACAGCTCCCTGGTGGCAGCAAGTGGCTGGTGGGCAATCGTGGGCGGTCCGTGGGTCCACAGAATGACTGCTCCATCTGCTCCAGTGGGCTTCCCTGTGCCAGCCAGGTACTTCCCGGGCCTGTAGCACGATTTCTGCTCAGTGTTGCTGCAGTGACTCACAGTGAGTTGTCATCGTACGCTATGCCTAATTTTTTTTCCTCGACAGTGGGAGGGGGGTGGAGGGGGGAGAGGAAGGAGCGAAGCCCTGTACCCAGGCCTGCTGACCACCTGGCCATCTGGGCAGACGGTGGGCTCATCCGAATTGAGCAAGGGCCGAGGAGTCAGGAGGCCTGAGCTCCCTCTCTGACCCCGAGGTTACTGCTTCTCCTCATATCCCTCTGAGTTTGGGCTCCTCAAGGATGCTGAGAACCTCAGGCAAGAAAAAACTACAGCCAAAGCTTGGGGACCAAGTGTATAGGAATCTATTCCCAGCCTAGGAAAAAAAAGTGATGGACTAGGGGAGGAAGCAATAGCTGGAGCCCCTTTCTCTAGGATGTCTGGTGCGACACGGGAAAAGAGAGACTGGATTTTTTTATAAGACACAGTTTGAGTCTTAGCTTTGCCACTTGCTAAGTATATGATGGGGTGGGGGTAGAGAAGGAAAGAGAATAAGCGTTTATTAAACACTTACTATGTGCCAGGCACTGTGCTAAGTGCTTTGTAATTCATATCTCATTTGAGATAACAAGGTTGTCAAGGTAGCTGCCATGAATACCCCCATTTTACAACTGAGGAAACTGAGGCAAACAGAGGTTAAGTGACTTGCTCAAGGTCATACAGCTAGGGAAGTGTCTGAGGCTGAATTTGAACTCAGGTCTTCCTAACTCCAGGCCCAGAGCTCCAACCACTGGGCAACCAGCTGCCTGCTGGGGCTGAACAAGTGTTCACATTAACACGGCACATTGAAGCTGACAAAGATTAAGGGAAGTGACTTGCCCAAGGTCACCAAGAACTTCTCTCGTAACTATCCAGTTGGGTGAGTAGCATATTAACATCCTCATTGTACAGATGAGGAAATTAAGGCACAGAAAAAGACAGTGACTTGCCTAGGCTCACGAAACTTGCGAGCTAAGACCTAGGACTCAAATTCACATCTGACTCAGTTAGTGGGACTCCAACTCAGTCCCTTAGCTACTGATTCCACCTGCTGGCCACCATACCACTCAAATCCTCCCTCTGACACAAGCTCTGTCACCTTTTGGACCTCTCTGGGCCTCAGTTTCTTCATCTGTAAGATGGGTTTTATTCGATGGTCCCTTTCTAGTTCTGGACCCATGAGCCTCCTCCGCCAAAGCCCGTGTCCCTACCTGTAAAATGGGTATAATAATAGCTCCCTCACAAAGTGGCCTGAAGATGGAGGTTCACAAATGTCAATGTGTGACAGATTGTTGATACTGGTGACAAACACACTTGCAGGCTCTCTCAAGCATCATGGGTGAAGGGAAAGTGAGGGGAATGCAAGCTTCTCCAGGGCAGGGGACTGCTCATGTCTGTCTCCGTCCCCTTAACACCTGGCATATGATCTGAATGGAATCTGCAGGGTTTCTGGGCATGGGGCTAAGGGGGAATGGCCCAGCTCATGGCCCAGTGACCAGTGGGAGTGCCCTTCTTATCAGTGCACCCAGGACCCTACGTGCCCCTGGCTCTCCATGGAGTCACCAAGCCCCATTCTGGCGAGTCCCAGCCAGAGAGGCCAACAAAACCCTCCCTCCCTCGGCCTCCCCTGCCCCTGCACGGTGGCTTTCTTCCAGAGCCAGGGCCAGATTCAGCGCCAGCTTGGGAGGTGATGGGTAGATGGGAGTAGGAGGGGAGCCCTCTCTGCATCAAGCTGGCCCAGGGACACCCTGAATTTTCCCACAGCCAAAGCCCAGGTGCAGGGGGAAGCTTCTGCTCTCACTGAGCCCAGAGCTGCACGGGAACGGGACATCTGGAATGGAAGCCTTCTTGCTGCCTGCGTCCCCACTCAGAATGTGGAATGGTTATTCCACAACCCCAACGACGTCCATCCGGGGCAGTCAGGAGGCTAGCAGCCTCTAAATCCTCCCTATGCACCTACATGAAGAGAAAAGCTTTGAAAAACAATTGCTGGTGGTTTGGCGTAGAGTTATTTTTTTTGTTGTTTTTTTTTTTTTTGAAGGACACAAACGTTTGCAAAGTTAAGTTCCAAGGCAGTTTCTGGTAAATTGAAAACAGCTTTTTAGCTTTTAAAGTTTACAGTACAAAAAATAATTTTCCCTTCTCTTCCAGGGGGGAAAGGCATTCCACCAACCAGGCGAGATTGTTCTGCACAATCCCTGGGTAATGGATCTGCCCCTAGATAGGAAGGCCCCGCCCCCCACACCTCTGCCAGCTGTTCAGGAACAAGATGTTCAGAGGTGCAAGCTGAGCCGGGGGACTCAGACCTGGCAAGGAGGCCCCAGCCCTGCCGAAGCTACCAGCGCACTTTACCAGGAGACTGTCCCTCCAAGGGTAGCTTAAAGGGAGGGGACCCTGGGGGGACTCCCCGGCAAGCACCCCAAATGTTTCCAGGGAGCCCAAGGTCAGGATCTAGAGGCAAAGGTCCCTCTCTGGCACCTCTCCCTCCATTCTGGGCCCTTGCCTACAGCCCCACTGGGGCACTGGGCCCACTGCCTGGGAGGGCCCAGCCTGCTGGCACAGGGACTCGTGTGCGGATGCACGCTTTAGAGGATGATCCCAGAAGCATTGGTCTTGGAAGAATGTCCATGAATGTCAAACATTCTCAAAAAACATGTAACCAATAAGTTGCGTGTTCTCTGCAGATCAGCGAGGAAAGAGGCAGATCATAAAAAGGTGGCGGGGGGGGGGAGACTTGTTTCTCTCTTGCACAGAATATCCCTTCGGTCCATATGGAAGGACAAATGACTTCATGCTTGCTTTGGTGCCTGCCCAGCTTCTCCAACCTCAACCTCCTGGGACAAGGCCAGTCCCCCGTTTCCTCCCCCTCCTCAGCCACCCCAATCTGAACTCCCACCCCCACCCCACCAGGCCTCTGCAGCCAGAACCAAGCCAGATCTGGGAGTGGGGAGGGAGGGAATCATGCCCCCCTAGACACCCGCTGCTCGGCATGTGGCACCACGTGGGGCACCTCTCGCTGGGTTGAGTGGCAAGAAGGAAAGGGGGGAAGGGCAGGGAAGAGAAAGGATCAGCATGAAAACGGGGAGAGGAATTTTAACAACAGAACATAACCGACATTAGACGAACCTCCAAAAACAAAAGTCTGAAAATAATATTGCCGCCAGAGATTTCACCCTTGGATAAGAATTTTATTTGACTGCATTTTCCAAAAGTTGGCAGAGATTGCTATGACAGCTGCAGCTGCATAGTCGGTGCCCCCTAGCCAGGCAGGGGCTCCCCCGACCACCTCTCCTTCCATGGCACGGGCGACGAGGATCCCCGACATGCTGAGAGGGGCAAGAGGAATAGCTGTGGCCAAGCATCAGCAAACCTTTCAGAGGTAATCCTGCTATGTCCCTGCTTCTCAGGAAGCAAAAACATTGGAAAGACCGGGGGAGGGGGGGGGCATCAAACAGCTGCTCCAGCAGACAGAAGGAGATGCCTTCTTTCTATGGTACCTGGCTGCAAAGAGATTTTATCCCATAAGTATCAGTAGCAAAGTAGACATCTGAAATGACCTCAAGAGGATACAAGTCTTTATTTAGAAGACATCAGTGTCCGTCCTTTGGAGTCTCAGCCGATGACACAGAGGTGGCTGAGAAATGGGCTGGAATCCTCATGGAAAAAGAAGTCAAGACAAAGGAATTCTGTCCACCACACCACAGGAGATTGCAAGAGAGAAGAAACAGCTGGGCTCTTGGAGTGCAGGGTCCAGCGTTCAAGTTCTGAGACAGCAACTCACTAACCACCTGACTGGAAAGGCGACTTCCTCATTCCTGAACCTCCATTTCCCCATCTATAAAATGGGGTTAAAAATACTCATGCTCACCCAGTGGTCGCAAACACGGTGCTCTGTAAACATTGGGGAGCTATCAAAATATGAATGGTTGGTCCTAATTATGAAGATGAGGAGGAGGAGGAAGTAGAATTCAATAGGGCATGGACCCAAAGGGGACATGGGAAGGTCACCAAAAGAAAATCAGACATACTCTCCCAGGAGAATGACTGGCCCAGGGCCTGGGGGACAAGCTTCTCCATGCATTCCACTTCTCCCCATGAAGACCCCATCCAGCACATGTTGGGGAATTTTGAAAACAAACACCCACCAACAACAGCCTTTGAGGACTACACCATCTCCACAGGTCTCTGTGGTTGTTGTTTCGCTCTGACAAAAGTGGGTGAGGAGGGTAGCCTGAAGGTCCGGCTGGCTCTGAAGCCAGGCAGGGAGCCAGGTGCAGGCCACAGAAGGACGCCCTCAGGAGAGGGAAGTGACCGCTGCAGGGGAACCGGGCTGGCCCCTCAGCTCATCACCACACTCTGCAGAGAAACATCTTCATGCAACTCAGGCGCTGCAGGGAAAAGCACTTACTGAGAGGCAAGAATGCACTTTCATCATCCACAAACCTCAACTATTTCGGTCTCTTTCTGCTCCTGGAGGTCTGCATGTTCTAAAAGTTTTGGTTAAATTTATTTTAGAAACACATGCACAAAGTAACTTGGAATGGGGGGGGAGTACATCCCTCTAACTTTGGGGAGCCACTCAACACTAATGAAATCATGTGTGGACTCATTCGGAAACGACAGAGCCGAGAGAGGACAGAAAGAAGCAAAACAAAACCAAGAGCCTAAAACAAAGGTCTGGTGGCTTCTCCTCATTTGTGACAAACAATAGTGAGAAATGACGAGCAATGCGCAGGGGGCAGGGGGGATGCGATTTTCAGCCACTACACGTTCGGCCCAGTGCCCTGGCAAGCGCTCTCAGCTCCCCCGGCTGCCAGAATCTTAGATGAGAGGAAGAGGAGGGAGCCCAGGGAGAAGATATCAACACTCCTGACCTGGGCCCTTGCTCTCCCCCAGCCTTTGGCACAGCGCGTCATTGGCAAACAAAGAGAAGGTCAACAGAGCCGCTGCATGAAGCCCCGTGCAGATGGCAGTACGCCCCCAGGCCCGCGAGCCCCGGGGCCTCCCCAGGGCTACCTCTGTGGCAATCTGGGGCAGGAGGACAGGCGCACAAGCGATGCCTGCAAAGGACTCGGGGAAGTGCATGTCCCTCTCCCACTCGTCCGTCTCTGTATTGTACACCTGCACGATGCTCGTCACATTGTTCAAATGCCAATTGTAGCCCCCGACGATGAAGATCTTCCTCTCCAGCAGGCAGCAGCCCGCTTCAGACTGGCCTGCCCGCATGGGGCTCACCGTCGTCCACTGGTCAGCCTCGGGGATGTAGTACTCGACAGCCAGGACGTCAAAGCAGCGGTCCACGTGGTCCATTCGGCCTCCGAGGGCATAAATGCGGTTGCTCGTGCTGACCATGGCATGCAAGACACGGGGCTCGTTCATGGGGGCCTTAAACTCCCACTGGTCCACAGAGGGGTCATAGCAGTGCAAGGCCTTCTTGTCCTCCACTGAGATGCCATAGCCCCCAGAGATATACAGCCTCCCGCTCGCGGCGGCCCCCGCGTGCCCCCATGTCCGGCGCTTCAGAGAGCACACGTAAGACCACTCGTTCTTCTTAGGGCAGTACTTCTCCACCGAGGCCAGGCTCCCCGCCCGGTTCCGGCCCCCCGTGGCATACATCATCCCACACAGCACATTTAGCTGGAACTGGATCCGGCTCTCCTGCATGGCCTGGATCCGAAGCCAGTGGTTCAGGTGAGGGTCATAGCGGTAGCAAATGTCCACTGCCCCCTCACCGCTCCGATACTGCAGGTGCTGGCCCCCGACGACGTACACAAAATTGTCCAGCACGGCCACACACGTGTGGCTGCAGCCCACCTCCATCTCGGTCAGCTCCTTGAACTGGCGGGAGCTGGGGTCAGGCAGGTGGTAGACCTTGCCACTGACCGTCCGGTCATTGTCCGTATAGGGCGTGCCCCCAAACGTGATGAGGGAGAGGACATCGGAGCGGATGATGGTCCGCGGAGACTGCATCTCATGCTGGCGGAAGGGCAGGATTTGGTAATTAAAGGCCTCCAGCAGGTACTGGCGGCACAGCACGTCCTCCACCATGATGTCCAAGGTCTGCACGCTGTCCACCAGCTCCGACGACTTCATGAGTGGGAAGCGGATGTGGCAGAGCACCTGGCTGGCGCGCGGCCGGCGTGTGGGCTCGTACTGCAGCCAGCGGATGGCCGCGCGGAAGAGGTCAATCTCGCTGCAGCTTTTCAGCTTGTTGCTCTGCAGGAAGAAGACCAGGCGCTCCAGGGGCAGGTGCAAGAAGTCCTCCTCCTCCGAGATCTGCAGGAAGTGCCGGAACGTGAAGGCGTCCACTGACTCCTTCAGGGAGGCCAGGCTGAAGGTGGTGGCCATCTGGCCGATGTTGAGGCATGTCTCCACGCTCATGGCCGACTTCAGAAACTCCTCGCAGAGCTCCACCACGGGGACCATCTGGAGGAAAACCGCAGCTCCCAGCACATCCTGAATACAGTCGAGATCGAGGGTCACTTCGGCACTGTAAGCAAAGTCAATGATGTGTTTCAGGCCTTTGGCAGACACACCCTTCAGCTCGATGATGTCCTGGCTGGCTTCTCTCATCCCTCCCGTGAACATCGCCCTTGAAGGTCAAAAACAAAGATTTGGTATTCGGTCAGTTGCCAGTCACACGAATAAGAGAGGAGAAACTCAAATGGGGGGGGGGGAGAGACAAGAAACCATGAGAAAGCCAGGGCAGGGCAAGCAAACATCAGCCTGATGAGAAAGAAAGAAACACTCTGCCCCAATCGTACATCCTCCTAGAAACAGCAACTCTCAGCCCTGCCCTGCAGACTGATACACTCCGCTGCCTGGCCTGTTAATTATTAAATGACCACTCCAGCTACTCAGCTGCAGCTGGAGGAAAGGCTTCCAACCATCCACCGGAACCGGTCAATCCAAGTCAGCTCGAGATCCAGAGACCCATGGTTATGAAAAGCGGCCCCACGGGCAGCCCAGCCCGGGATGGCCACGGCTCACCAGAACCCCGCAGCTTAGGGAGGCTGCTGACCGCCAGGGGCCCACCCCTTCCAAGGGAGGAGAACCTAGCATCATCATCCATTCAGGGCCCACCACGGTTCTACGGATTCTCCCTACTACACTGTCAGCTCCTGACAGGCAGGGCAGGGCCTCTTCTTTTGGCTTTAGAGCCTCCCGCATTAGGGACGGTGCAGAGAGCAGGCACTAGACACGTTTCTGTTGAACTGGATCGAGGTGCCAGGAAGGGTACAAAAGGGAAATTTCAGCCCTCCTAGCCATGCTGCCAATGAATTCCTCACCCCCAGCCCCACCACTGCAGACCTCAGTAGGAAGGAAGCTCCCTGACCTAGGAGGTATGAGCAGACACTGAATGACCACATGCTGAGGGTAATGATAACAGCAATTAAGACTCACCTTTCCTAGAGCTTTAAGGTCTGCCCTGTGACCCACTGAACAGATGAGGAAACTGAAGCTCCCACAGCTTATGTGATTTATCTAACCGCCCTACCACAAAGGAGCTGGCACTCCCATCCAGTGTTATTTCCCCACTTCTGTGCTGCCTCGGGGATGTTATAGAGGTGATTCCTGTTTCAGACAGGGCTTTGGACTGAGTGACCTCTGAGGTCCCTCCTAACGATACTGTGCAGCCTCCCCACGGCCACTGCATGGGCTAATCAGAGGCCCCATGCTGCCTGAGGGGAGGATGGCCTTTCCATCACCAAGAGAACATCCTTCAGGCCGCAGGACAGGTGGACAGGCCGGGCCACACCAGTGGCCACACCAGGGGGCTCTGTCCCCTGGGATCCGTCCAGTAGCCCCCGGTAACCTATCCTCTCTCCAGGGGATGTCTAAAGAGCTCCTCCAACTCCAGCCAGTGCTCAAGTGGAAGCATGCCAGGATAACCGCAAACACAGTGCCCCTCACTCCTCTGGCCCTCACACTGGCCCTCTTTTTCATCTCAGATAAGGCCGAGAAGGTGCAGTCAAAAGCACGGTGCAGTGGCATGAGCTGAGAAAGCTGAGTCCAAGCCTTGCCCTGACACTTACCGCATTGCGGGCCTGGAATCAGCCAGTAAGAGGTAAGGCACCGGAAGCTTGTTTTGTTTTCTCTTTGCATCCCCGGTGCCTAGCACAGTGCCTCTGACACACAGGGCAACAAATGAACATTTTCTCAAGCCATAACTACTGTGATCCTCAGTTTCCTCACCTGTAAAAGGGGGGCCTGCAAGGATCCCTCTCCCTCAGCAGAGGAATCCCAGGGGAATGACCACAACAATAATCACTGCTCACCCATCCTAAGGCCTTTCCTTCCAACAGCCCTTGGAGGGAAGTCCTACGGGTACCATTATCCCCCCTGGGATGGGGCTTTATGCAGACAAACAGGATCAACGGCTCATGGGATTAACAGCTCATGCCACAAGAACGGGCAGGCCCTTCTCTCGTCTCAAGGGTCACAAGGCCCAGTTCTGGACCAGACCCCCACTAAACCCCCTCGGTGACTTCTTGGCCTTGTCTGCACCCATCTGGCTGCTTCCTGGGGGAGGGTCTGACTTGCTTCTTCCCCGATAACCCCTCAGCCTAAGGGACAACCATTGGGCCTCTCTTCTTAAGCGGCTGTGGAGTGACAGCCCTCAAAAGTCAAGACACAAGCCCCGGAGAATAGGTTCCTGCCTCTGTCTCCTCTCCAGCATCACAGCCCCTTCTCCTCCTGCCAGGAGAGAATGAAGGAAGCTGCTGCCGGGCCAGCCCCATGGACTCTCCCAGCTATACTCCCTCTGGCTCAGCAGAGCGATGATGGGCAGTGCTCTTCCTGCCCTCAGGGCATGAGTCCAGAGAGCCCCTGGCTCCAGGGCCACCTTCTCCAGAACCCCTCCCCTGATCTGCCCAGTGAGCACCAAACCGCCCCTTTGGGCCCAACACAACTCGTGATGCTGAGTACAAAGCCTTATGTGTGAGGGCCCTGGGTCCATGAGGGCAGAGATTACTACTGGACCTTCCCCAGGAGCCAGCACAGTGCCCTGCACACAGAAGGTACTGCAGAAGAGTCTGGGCTGTTTATATTCTCAGGATGCCACTGGTCTAGCCACGTGCTACACAAATGAGAATTTAGTAAACATCCCAAACAAACATTTCTGAGCTTCCTCGGCTGTTCTTGGTCTAGAGAGAAGCCATGCATACCACGGAATGGCACAAAAAAAAAAGAGAGATATTTGGGGGGCATCAGGCCCCGAGGACAGGGCTGAGCTGGCCCGGACCAAACACCAGGCTCTGGTCCGGAAATGTGACCAGTGCTCCCCTAGCACCCAAACCTGGGCTGGCCGGGCAAAGAAGCAGGGAGAGAGGCCAACCTTCCCCCCACACCAGTGGAAGTGATTACTGCTGGGACACAGCAGACACCCCCTAGAAAGATGTCCCCAACACTGTCAGGGAGGGCACAGGACTACAAAAAGGTGACCAAATTCTCACAGCCATTAGGCCATCTTTAATTTGGGGCCTCTAGTGCTCGAGAGGATTGAGCTGAAAAGAGTCAGGCCAGTGATGGCAAAAAGGGGAGGGGTAAGCCCTGTCTGGAGAAGGAGGGAGTCGTCTTTTGCACTGGGCTGGGTCTCACCTGAAATAGTCACTGCAGGCAGCCAAGACCACCTTGTGGACTTGGAACGCTTCATTGTTGATGGTGAGGATGACATCCAGGAGCTGGCCCTGGGCTCGGAGGGTGGCGAGTCCCTGCAGGAGGGTCGTGCTGTGGCCTGGAGCAGAGAAGGTGCACTTGAGGGCCCCGTTCTTGTCAGCCATGCTGCCAAGAGAGGAAACAGAAAAACGTGTTCAGAGCTCCCACCCAGGATCTCAGGAACCCACCGGCCCAAGGAGCTCTGAAAGGTAGAGCCGTTTAGGAAAAGCAAGAGAAAAAGAGTCACGTTGGGCTCTTCAGAATGCCCCTCTTCAGGAATTCCTCGAGTACATCCTCACACCCAGCACCTCTCATTTGCAAGGCCTGCTTTCCCCTAAGCAAGTACAGCCATCTGTGCCCCACAGACTCTCAAACAGCCAAAACTTTGTGGCAAATGTCTCCAGAAGCTCCCTGCAAGTCATTTCTGCCCCCACACCTGTACCTTCACCCACACCTCCAGCCTTTACAAAAACTGCCTGCTGGGGAGAGAGATAAGCAGGAGAAAACCTCCCTGGGGTTTCAGAAATTCACAATTCTGAATGATAAGGCCTTGTGTGAGTCCCTTGCCCTAGAAAGGCATGAATTTCCTCATCTATAAATTGAACAAAATGGACTAAGTGATTTCTTACCCAGATGTATGACTCTGCGATATTATGTTCTAAGAACTTGCCTAAGGCCTGACATTTGCAAAGGCCTTCCCAATTCTAACATTTTATGTTCTAAGGGCCCTCCAGGCTCTGCTATTCTCTGTTCTTAGGGCCCTCTCAGCTCTTATATCCAGTGTTCTGAGGGTTCTCTCACCTCTGACATTGTGTGTTCTGAGGGCCTTCCCTGCTCTGACACCCTGTATTCTAAGGGCCCTCCCAGCTATGACACCCTGTGTTCTAAGGGCCCTCCCAGCTCTGACATCCTGTGTTCTAATGACTTTCACAGCCTGATGTTCAATGTTCTGAGGGTTCTCCCATCTCTGACATTGCATGTTCTGAGGGCCTTCCCATTCTGACATTCTGTGTCCTACATTCTAAGGGTCCTCTTCACCCTAACATTCCATGTTCTAGGTTTTCTACTCTAAACTCCCCTCTAGCTCTAACAGTCTGTAGTATCTTCTAAAGTTCCTTCCAGATCTAAAATCTTGGGCTTCTAGGAAGGACTCACACAACTTCACCAAGCTAAGAGACTTAGGCCCTCCTATTTTCTAACTGTCCCACAGACCCACGGGGAGTCCACGTCTAGGTTAGCATGCCTGCCCCACCCCCTTCTGCCGCAGCGGCCTCCCACATAAATGAATCCTCTTCACTAAGCTACTCTTTGCACTTTGGCCAATAATTCCCAAATTAATTTCCCCAATGTGGCGCTATTTCTATTAAGGCTAAGCACTTCACATGGCAATTTCCATCCTCAATTGCACTTGACCAAAAGACATGAATTACCCTGGTGTCCTTTCAGGAGAATTAAATTGACAAGCCTGTCATATGCACCACATGCCTCGGAAGGGGCCTGTCAACAGCTACACCAGGCCCTCCAGAAGAAGAGGGATCAGGAGCTTTCTAATAATAATAATCACAGCCCCCACAGGCAGTGGGAAGGTGCATGTGTGCACATGAGAGTTCTCCACCTCTGAAAAGGGCTGGATCGTCCCCAATTTAGAGATGAGGAAATTACCCAAAGTTAGACAGCAAAGTCATAGCAGAGCCTGCCCCAGACTCACCCCGAGGCTCATGATTGCCAGCGCAACACTCACACAAACTCAAATGTAGGGCAGAGAAAGTGGTCATCGTCAGAGTCTTAGAGTGGCCACCTCACTTAACATGGACTTGAATTTGGAAGCCTTAGAATTGAGATGTCTTTACAACTATGAGAAGGAATATTTTTTCCCTTTTTTTTTTCTAAACTAAACCAATCCCATCTGCTGGAAAAGACCTTTAGGCCCTAGCGGACCCCCCCCCCCGCCCAAAATCAAGAAGGGAGTAGCTGCTAGAAAATGTGTTCTTAAAAATGTAATCCCTTTGTCTCTCTAATTTGGTTTTCAAAGCAATTTTTTTTTAAAGTAGGGACTCCATACCTCTGGTCTCTCCCTTTTCCAATCTACCCTATACACCAGGAGTAGGGAAGCTGCGGCCTCCAGGCCACATGTGGCCCTCTATGTCCTTAAGTGAGGCAAAGCTTCCAAATCAGACTGAATCTGATTCCATCAAAGGACCACACCAAGTGGCCAGATGATTCTGCCTATGGCTAAAGGGTCTTAGCTTGTTATTCCCTGGCTCAAACATCTTTAGAGGCTCCCTACTGCCTGTTCCCAGCCTGGAATTTCAGGTTCTTCACAATCTGGCTCCACTATCCATTCCCAGCCTTATTTCATATACTCCCCTTCATATACCCTACACCCCAGCCAAAATTGGTCTCCTGGTTGCTTCTGGAACTCGACGTACCATTTTTTTTTCTTTCCTTAGCATTTAGAGTGTTGTTTTTTTTTAAATTCTGAACTTAGCAAATACCAAGAGATGAGCATTTCCATCTCCAAACATCAGCACCACATGGCATGCACCTCTCTCTCCAAGCACACAACAGATTCCACACGTCATTTTCAAAGCTGTCCTGAATCATCAGTGTTTCTTCTGACCTTCTGCCCGTTCTCTTCTGGACATTTTTGAAGATCAACTCGGCATTTCCCACCTCAAACGTTCACACAAGCCTTTCCTAAGGGGCCGAAAATGTCCTCTTGACTATATATCTCTACCTTTGTCTCTCAGAAACCTTGATCTCTTTTTAAGGCTTAGCTCAGAAGCCACCTCCTTCAGGAAGACTTCCCAGGTCTCCCTCCTCAAATTCTTCTATTTACTTCTCTGTGTCCTCATACCTTTGTCTCTCTGGGACACAGTAAGTTCCCTGGGGATAGGAACTATCTTTTTCTGAATTTTATATCTTCCAAGGCTTAGCACGGTGCTTGATACACAGACAGCACTTAATGTTTGTTAAACTGAACTGAATTTTTCCTGGATTGGAGGAAGCACTCACATGAGGTCCTGCTATGTGCACAGCACTGTGTGGGGCATCAGAGATATAAAGTAGAAAAACAACACTGTCCCCTCCCTCAAGGCACTTACAATCTAGTTAGTGGTAGGGGGGAGATGGGGTTGTGAATTACATATACAAATAACTATATAATGCAAGTTAGAAAATGGGAAGTTTAAGTGATGAATTAAAGGCACCAGCCCCAAACAAACTGCCTCCTACCCTGCTACCCTGCTCAAAGACCCGGCAGGTGTGATTCCTGAGCCTTGGAAACACCTTGGAGAACACAAGGAGTACAGAAGATCTGGAGACAGGACAATGTCCCAGCCTTCAAAATGGGAGAAAAAGCAGACTTGTCAAACTCCCTTTAGTCCAAAGATTAAAGTATGACTTCCAATTCCTGGTAAAATTCTAGGGTGTGCTATTAAAAGGAGGGTGTGTGGCCAGCTAGGAAAGGAAGCATGGAGCCTAAGGAGCCAGGAACAGGTCAGACCAGACTCAGTCGCTTCCTTTCTGGACAGGGCTAACAGACATGGAAATCAGAGGAATCCTGTAGCTACAGTTTACCTAGATTTCGACAAAGCATTTGATGGTCTTTCATGCCATCCTTGTGGGAAAGATCTGGGAAAGTATGGTTTGACAGCCTTAGGGCTGGCTGAAGAACAGCCAGACCCAAAGTGTAGTCCATGATGGCTCAATGTCATTTGAAAGGAAGTCTCTGGAAGTCCCCAGCAATCTGTCCACAGCTCTACCCTGCTCAGTTATTTTTTGTTGCAGCTGTTTTTTTTAAAGACATAGTTATTAAGTTTGCATGTAACAAAAAGCTGGGAGGGATAAGCTGTCACATTAGATGAGTTAGGAACACCTGGGCTTCATTAAATCAGATGACATGTAATAGGGATAAATGTGAAGTTCTACCCTTGGGCTCAAAAAATCAATGTCAAAAGTACAAGATGGAGGGAGAGTGGCCTGACCAACAATGTGTCTGAAAGAGATCTGGGTGTTGAATGGCCTGCAGGCTGACTACGAGAATGGAAAGTTAATGAGGCTTTGGTAGCATTAATAGAGGAATAGTGCCAAAATCAAGGGAGGGGACAAGTCCTCTTCTCTTCTGAATTTAACTAGGCTGGTCCTCCCATAACAAACACAGGGTCAGTTTATCATGGGGCTTTCCAGCTCAGTAGGACCTGCCAGAGCTTGGGTTCTACTGACAGAGCCTTCAAGAACCCAGGATCAGCACCACCCCAGCTGAGGAATCAGAAGAGGACTTTAATGGTGGAAGTGTAAAATAAATGATAATAAAACAGAAGCAAAGCTGTGCACAGGAGCCTGCTCTGTCATTTCCTAGAAACACTTTCAAAGTCTAGATTCAACCTTAGTAGGTTGAATTGGAAAGTCTGGGGGAACCTTGGATTCCAAAGTATTCTCAAAATCAGAAAAGAAGGCCCATTAATATTAACACCATTTAAAAAAAAAAAAACCAAACCAGAAGGAGCTGTCAGTCTGATTTATTGGGGATGGGGGGTTTGTGGGTCAGAATGGGTTTACAACTTGGGGAGGAGCAAAATATTTACTCAGGTTTCTTTAGTAATGAAAAGTACTTTCCAAACAATATCTCTGCAAAGGAGAGAGTAAATAAGTATTATCATATCTATTTTACAGAGGAAGGGAAATGACTTGCCCAAGGTCACATAGTTAGCAAGTATCAAAGCTGGGATGAAAACCCAGGTCTGCCAGCTCCAAACCCAGAATGTTTTCTACTAGATTGGGCTACTTCATATACTGAGGCACAGAAGAGGAAGTGAATTAACTCAGAGGCAAAGGAATGACCCTAAATTTAATTTTTTGTTTGTCCCACGTTATTCTGGCCTGACCTCTTTTTAGTAAAAAAACCTCTAAATAATAGCTTGCCTTTCTGTAGCCCTTTAAAATTGAGGTTCATGTATAAAAATATTTATAGCACTCTTTTTGTGGTAGCAAAGAATTGGAAATTGAGGAGATGCCCATCAATTGGGGTATAGCTGAACAAGTTGTGGCATATGAATGGAATACTATTGTGCTATATTATAAGAAATGATGAACAGGTGGACTTCAGAAAAACCTTGGAAGACTTG